CTCTCTCTCTCTCTCTCTCCTCTCCTCTTTCTGTGTATGTCTTATATCTATATATATTTTTGCCTCTCTTTCCTGACGTCTCTGTGAATGAGTTTTTAGGATACGTCTGTGTCTGCACTGTAAGAGCGCTGATATTTTTTAGGCTAATAATTACATTTATCATGTATTGAATCTAAACTAAACTGTTTTTATGGCTATAAATCAGTTACCAAATACCTATCTGTCTCTCTCTCCGGGTTCTCACGACAGGTGTGTCTACTATTGTTGGCCTCTTTGGCGCTAACGCTGGCAGAGCCGCAGCCGTTGAACACAAATGTCAATGAAATCGATGACAAGACGCCTGAGAAGCCGGAACCGCGACAGGCGGTGATGCCCTACACGTGGATCCAACCGCCACAAGCCGTGGCACCGGCACCGGTCGCCCCCTCCTGGACGGCAGCTCTGGCCGCTCCCTCTTGGTTCTCGACCAGCGGTCAGTCGCTGTTGTCTCTCCTGAAGCCCAATGTTGTCGGCGGTCGGCGTTCGTCGCTCTCGAGTCGACTGCGAAATCTGATGAACGCTTTGTTTTACCGGTAATTATCAAAATTAGAGACTCTTTTGACGCGTTTTTCTCACTTTTCAAAAATCGGGTCATTCCTTAGGCGTGAGACTACATCACCTTATATGACATCCGGTTCGAGCTATTCCTATGCCTTCCGTCCGCCACCCTTTGGCTTTGGCAACAGTGGCTTCTCGACGAGCGGACTCGGATCGGCTATTGGTAACCAGAATCTGTACGGCTCGGCCTCGTCTTACAGACCAGTGGTTTTACCCAATTATGGCTCGTCGGCCGCCGACGCCTGGAGTAACTATAAGCAGAGCTACGGCTCGAGCGCAGCCCAGACACCCTTCTCGGGCACTTCCAGCTGGAACTCAGGCAACAGCGGTAGTGGCTCTCCCTCACAGTCGGGAGCCATTTGGCAGAGCGGCTCACAGTTGGGCTCAGGACTCGGCTCAGGACTGGGCTCAGGAATCAGCTCTGGACTCGGCTCAGGACTCAGGGCTCAGGACTCGAGCTCCGGATCTCAATACTCGGGATTGAGCTCTTCGTCATACCCTCCGTATTCAAGCGGTTCCGGTTCATCAAACACTGCATACCAGGCCTCGGCCTCCAACGCCTACCCCAACACATCATACCAGCGCTCATCGGTTAGCTCTTACAGCAAACCCCAGACCAGTGTAAACACATCGGTCTCATCGTCGGTGTCATCGTCTTCATCCTCTTCCTCATCGAGCGCTGCAAAGCCAACGGGATTTCAGTCTTAAATAAACATTAACTCTCTTCACAACAAAACACACATTTCCTAACATTTGTTTCGCTCCTCTTTTCTTAATGTATTTCTTAATTATTTAAACAAATTCTTTACAAATCTATAATTATATTTTTTGAAATCATCTTTTCTTGTAATTAAAATTATTTATTTTAATTTTTATGAATTAATTATGTTTTTATTTTGTAATGTTGTCGTCGTTTTAAATCTCAATCAAATATCACATTATGTTTTTCGTCTCAATAATTAATATTTGTTTTTCGCGTATATTTTTGAGAACTATTTATAGAAAAAAATACATTTTTATTTGAAAATAAAAAATTCATTTCTTTATTTTGACATAAATTCTTAGCGATTGTGTTGTCATTCCCAACAGCAGAATGTGTTCAAAATGTGAGCCAAAAAACACAGTTATGTTTTTTTTACTGTTGAGCTTTTGCTTCACTTAAATCTTGATGTTTATCGGAGGAGAAAAATATTCAATTGTGAGCCGAAAATTCATTTTATTTTTCAAGAAAATTACATTTTCTTATAATTTCCAAACATATCTGAGACACGAATCTAACGGTTAAGACAGCTTTGCGTGCATTCATTGATGCTTTTTTAGACACAAATTAAGATCATATTTAGTTAAGACATATTTGGATGAAATGAACATTCCGTTCAAATATGTTTATACTATGTTAGAAGTTATCTAATATATCACTTCATTAACGGGATGGTAAAGATTCACTGCTAAGCAGTTATTTAAAGCACCATGGGCTTCTACGCTACAGAATATAAAATATTAAAATTGTTTATTTGACTTTTTAATGTATTTTTAGATTATTTCTTATACACTGTACATATGAGAGTCATATCGCGAGTATTAAATTAATTACAATCCATAGTTAGAGAAACTTAAAATAATAATCATATAGTTTTTGATATTTAATCAATCAATTTATGGGCCAAACACGAGGTGAGGCCATACGGTGTGTCCGAAAGCATAGCTTACCTCTCAATTGGGGTCTAAGAGATGGCGCACAGGAACTGATGGGTCGAATAAGGAATCGACTGAATAGTTGGCAGCACTTGTGTGGCGGACGACGAGTCGCTCAACCGGTTTGGTTGCTCTGTAGACGAGATGACCGGCGAAAACCTGCCCCTCAGGCCCACACATGTTTGTCACACCGGTATATGGAGTGCCGGTTATGACCACAACGAGTATAACCAAAGACTGGTCTTTAAGATACTATTCGAGATTATTAGAGACTATTGCAGATAAAAGACATTCAGTTATTGAATAACAATTTAGAAATAATTTATAACATAAGTTATTCATAAGTTTGTTAAAAATAATTTGAACAATAATAACAATTCTAACAAAAAATAAATTGAGAATTGTGTTTATAATAAACATTTACTTTGAATTAATTATCAATATTTGAAGGACTATTAAAATATATAAAAATCACTAAAATAAACTTTTTTTTAAAAATTACGAATTAAATGGATTGTAAGCAATGATAATAATTTATAGCCAATAAATAATATTTATTAATATATTATAATTTCACAAAATTCCATTATTAAAGATATAATAAAACATTGAATAATGCATTTATAATATATAATTTTGTAATTATAATTATTTGAAACACAACCAAATATAATAATTAGTTTTTTATATGATGCCAATGAATACCATAAGTAATCTATGATTTATTCACATTAAGTAATGGCAAAATGTGGTGCCTTTTAATGTTTCCATAACATATTTATGGGTTTTTCGGATACAAATTATCTCATATGCGTTTTGGTGAGACTTTTCCGACCCCTAAAAATATTAGATACCATTTCCTATTGATTTTGTTCGTTAGATAAACAATGAGTGTTAATGAAAATGTGTTTAGCGGTCGTCGATAGCCATATAAAATATAATTTTGATTTTAATAAGAATGACAGCGAAAATTGATCTCGTTTTATGAATATGAGTGAAAAACTCAATTAATATAAAAGCAGTAAAAGGGAGGGGAGGGAGGGATTGGAGAGGATGTTGATTGCAGTTATAACCAGAACTACTAATAGTGGACAATATGTTTGGTACAAAGTTTAGTGTCGTTAAAGCGTTTCACAAGAACTCACGCAATTCACTACATAAGTACTTCATAAGGGGGAGAGTGTATGGTATCATATGGTATGGTATGGTATGTCACTCTAGGAATCACTGATATATTTCGTAACATGTAAAGTGAATGCCATATATATATATTGGGCTACTGTTAGGCACTGGCATACCATTAGTGGTATTTGGAAGTGGAGGTCATTTCAATCTAAATTTATTGACAAAAATAGTAGCAATGCTTTTAAACACAACGTGTATGTGAAACATGTGAATATGTGAGCAAATTAACGCTTTTACTCGAGTGTAACACTATTTTGACTTCTAGTCGGCCCTCCAAACAGTCCCTCACACTCTCTCTCTTCACTCGAGCGATATTTTTGTGTCGATCGCTAATAGCCTCACAAATGCCCAGAAATAGGTGGACAGACGGGTGGAGGGCTTCTATTAGAAATATATTCATACAATGCTTTGACCTTATGGTGTGTTTAGCTCTCAAATGTCTGCTCGACTTCCATAGAGTACAGGGAGTCACCCAAATACTGAAACCCTCTGTACTAAACTTTCACGACCTTTTCTCTCTCTACTGGGAAAAAGCATTCTTCTCTCTGCTCTCTGTATTTAAATACGTTTTTGGATCTCTAAAGTCAGCGCTAAAAGTGAGAATTCAGTCCACCTTTTCATAAGTTATATCCATTAAAAGTAGTTATGGCTCTCATTATAAACGCTATGCACTGCCATTGAAGCCAATGTTATATGCATTTCACAGGACGTGTCACTAGAAACTAGAAAAAAGTTTTTCGTATTCACATATATTCACTACAAATATATCCTTCAATTTGAATTGATTTGCTAAATGAAATGAACGGTGAAAACGATGTGAAATAACATAAATATTGAATTTCAATATTATTTTAGTCACTTTCACATAACATTTTTTGTGATTCCCACCCTTTCTCGCCAAACAGTATTATCTATCCATCGATTCTCAATTTAATTAAAATAATACAAACATGTAAAAATATATTCTATCCGCTAAAGTGGTATAAATAAAATACTTTTAATTTCTATAATATAAATATTTATATTTTCTGTAACAGTATTACACATTAATGCGTGAATATCTGAAATTCTGGTCATTAAGTACTCTATGATAACAATATCGCTAAACATATCGCTTACGATATTATAAATATTAATATCATATTATTATATAAGAGTACTATTAATGTCAATATTTTGTTTGAAATCATTTATCAAAACTGATTGAAAATATTAATTGATATAATGTTTGGCACAAAACGAAATGGTTTTAAATTACTCGAAGAATTGAATGACAATTTGAGTGACATTTCTTAACAAAACACAAGAATCTAAAAGCGTGTGTAAAATAAATATTTTTAAAAAATTAAAAAATATATTCATGATTCATTATTGATGAAAATACATGATCAATAGTGTATTAATATAAAAATATATATTTTAATACTGAATACAATTTCAATGGGAAAGCGTGTGCAGCAAAATAGACAGCAATATATATGATGGAGATTGTGCTGGGAGTCGGTATTGAGGCGAATCCAACCAACTGTGCGGCTGTATATATGCTGGTTGTCTGTGAGCCCCACCCCGTGCTGTAGTAAATGCCGGTTAAGGTCGCGCTGAGCTCTATGTATGAGCTCTGTTGGCGCTGTTGTGCAGATAGTTTGGATGACTGACTGAGAGTTATAATACAGAAAGTGAATCACTTTGGAGTGAAGGATAGGCAACAAAATGTCGGTCCCAGTCGTCCGCCAAGTCCTCGCAGAGTGTGCAGTGAGAGTGTGGGTTACTATTGTATAACATATTCACGTCTTATTGCTGAACGTGAATATTGCTTATATTGCTTCACTATATCATACAATTATATTGAAATATTCATCCAATTCTCAACCATATTCTTGACGAACAATATTAATAAAAATGCAGATTCTGTTGAATATGTGTCTACTATTAGTGACTTTACTATACTGTTGGACATCAGTGATCGCCACCAATGTGTACGAGCAGATCTCCATTGAGCCCGAACTGTCCAAGGTGAGTCCTATAAGCATGTATGCTGTGATGTGTGTGAAGTACCTACCGTTGCCTTCCTTTGTCCTTTCCATTGCCTCCATTTCCCATTCAAACCATACCATAGCCTATGATATTCTCGTCAGTGAATCACATCCAACAGTTCCCGTCAAGTGATTTAATGACACCATGAGTTGCATTAACTTATTGTCCATTATTAGCGTTTCTCTGGCTTTAACTCCAATCAACTTCCTCTCCAATCCTCCCTCTCGTCTCGCATTCACTGCTTTTATATTAATTTGATTTTCCCCTTATTTT